AGCGGCGGCTGCGGAGTGGACGCGGCTGAGGTGGCAACTGGAGGGTCTCAGGAAACTGGGGAGGCCACGGAGGCGGAGCCGAGGGCCCAGGCTAGGGAAAGAGGCGTCTGCCCTCGGCGAGGCTCTCCGGGTGCTCAGAGAACCGGACTAGGTCTGTGGCAGCCCGCGCTTAGGAGTGGGGCGTGCAAAAGATGGGCCTGGGAAGCCACGCAAGAACAGCTCCTCAGAGGGCCTGAGGAGGGGAGAGGAGGAGGAGGAAAGTGCTCCAGCGGCCCGGGAGATGACAGGGTGCAGCCTCTGGAGGCTCGCCCCCGCCTTCCCCTTCTTGATTCATCTTCTTCCTGACTTCACACCCCGACAGCTGGGTGATCCGCCTGGGCGAGTCCCAGCGCCCTCTGGGTCTGTCTCTCTTTGCCTTGGAACGCGCATCACTTTCCTTTCAAGAAAGGACTAGCTGGATTCTAGGGGAACTGGGGAGAAGTTGTAACAGTCCAAACTGCGGTTCAGAAGGAAGGCAGCTGCGTAGGGTGGAAACCACCCTCTCAAGAGAGTTCGCATCCTCGGACTTAAATGGGTAAAAGACTACATACAGGAAATGTGTCCCCCGGCAGTGGTTGTGAGTTCAGCCCCAGGGAATCACAGCTGCCAGCAAGCCCTCCCTTCTTTTTCTGGGGACCCCATAGCCCCAGGGTTTCATAGGGGAGGCCTCTTTGTCTTGGGTGCCAGCACTTTCAGCCCCTCATGTTCCAGCTCCTTCCTTCCCTGCGTATTGTCTGATCTTTGAGACCCCACATTCTTGAGGTGTCCGGGAATGGCTGGCAGTGGCATGTAAAGTTGTTGTCACAGGCCCATCTGCTACTACAGGAGTCTGGAGTTGCCTAGTTTTGATTGGCATGACTTTCTCCTTTCCCCTCCCCCATTGCCGGGATCCCTGTCTGCTGTGTGCTTGTAGAACGGAGGCCAGGTTTAGAGCTCCATTTGGTGCAGGAATCTGAATATAAAGAAAGACTCAGAGACATGACTGCCCTATTCACTTCCAGAATGTTCTGGAAGAAAGCTTTCAGCTTAGCCTGCCCCAGGGCACACTGCCCAGTCATGTCTCTTGTAATGTCAGAGACTGCTTGGGTCTGGAGACCCCAGGGAGGACTTGAATCTTTCTATGCCATGACCATGTGGTTTTCTCTGTGCACTCAGAGCATGTGACTCAGTGGGGGTCTCCTGTAAGAAGTGCCTTGTGTTCTGTGCAAGACTCTCTGCCTGTTTCCTCCTCTGCAAAGTGACTGGATTGGCCTGTGTCAGCCTTTTTCAAGAGCTAACACTGCTTATTAACTTTTGTGTCTCTGGTACATACCCTTTGGTTTTATGCAGCCCCAACTTTTCTGTGTCTCCTGCCCTGCAATCCTGGGCATGGAACTTAGAGCCTTATGCATGCATGCTGGGTATGTGTTCTACCTTGGAACCATACCCCCAGCCAGGCGTCCAGTATGCTTCTTGCATAGAGTGTGAAGCTGGTTGGGCAAAAACCTCGAGTTGGGCAAAAACCCTCTCTCAAATATAGTTGGTGACTGTGTGGGTCAGGTAGGGACTCAAGACTCCTGACTTGACTCCCTTCCTGACAAGAGACCATGAAATTGTGGCTACCCTTCTCTCATCTCTCTGGAGTGGCATGTGCTGGATGGATCCAAAGTCTAACTGAGCAAGAGCTGGTTGTGCCAAATGCATGCTGCCTCCTGAGAGCAGAGCTGAGATCTTCTTGTGCCTCAGAGGGACAACTACTATCCCTTTACATAGAAGAATAATATTCCCAGTCAGGCAGGTCATCACAGTGACTGGTGGCATGGGTTATCACAGGGTCAGAATTGGGGACACCGAGACTGAGGTTTAGGATGAGGGGAGTCTGTTACGTTTCCTTGAAAGAGGTGGCTGCCCCAGCCAAACATGGAAAGCCATGTTAGTGATGAGCCCTCAGTGACAGGAGCAGAGAGGACCACCCCCCCCTTCATTCTGCTTTTTGGCATATTTGGTGTGGTCCCTGCTTTTGTTTATCTCAGCTGTCTTGTCCAGTCAACCAGCAGGAGAGGGTCTTTGTTCCTATTTTCCCAGGCAGGTCTGGTTTGGAGATGGATCCTTATGCGTTCTAGAACCAGGAAGCATGGCTGGGAGGCTAGGCTCATGCACTAGCTCTTATCACACACAAGGCACAGGCATCCCAGCACCCCAAGAGCAAAAAGACAGCAAGTCCTTGAACCCCAATCTTTTACAATAGCCCTTAATCCAAACTTGTCTGTCAAACTATCCTGATGTCTGGTGTGGGGTCCTTCTTTGCCCCCAGGACCACTTTGTCCTCCCTGAGATGCTGTCTTGCATCATCACGAATGTGGTGACCAAAGATGATGACAGGTTGTGTCATGTGGAGTGGGCCACACAGAATGAACCCAAGGTGAGAATAGATGCTGAGTGCGAAAATCTGGCTATGGTGCCTACTGGCCTTAGTGCTTCTCTAGGGCATCTGCAGGATTGGGGGAGAGGTGGGGAGACCTTGGTTGCTAGATTCTGCTGGCAGCTGGGTAGGAGGAGGCATCACCCTCGAAGGACTAGGGCAGGTGGGCTAGCTGAGATAGACTGGTGGGCACAGCAGGGCCATTGTCTCTCTTTTCCTTGTATCACCATTGACCTGGGTTTCTGAAGACTCTGTCCCTATCTCGGAACAAACTTACTTTTCTTGCAAGATTAGCTATACCAGACTCCATTCTCAGAGGCTGTCTGATTGCCATGCCTCTGATAAACTGCATTAACTCCTCCACGGGTCCAGGCCCTCAAGGTGCTCATCCTTTCCCACACTGTTGAAGTTCTTTTGGGGTTTTTGTGTATCGCTTGCTGTCCTCTCTCTGCCTTCCTGGTCCTTTTTGACCCCTTTCTCACCAATGACAATGACACAGCTGCTTTACTTCCATATGGGAAAGTCATCCACTCTGAGGCTCATCCACCCGATGATCCCTCTCTCAGATGCGCCCCCCACGTCCTACCTGCCAGGCCTTTATATCTTTGAAGTCCCCAACCCAGCTGTGCCAGGCAGCCCCTGCCCGGCCCACCATTTAGCCTGGCCCAGGCGTGGCCTCCTCACAGAGCAAGACAGGCCCTTCTCTTCTGCCCTCGTGGTCCCGGGGGGCAGAACAAAGGGCCTTGTCTCTGCACGGCTACCCACTTGGCTGGGAAAGCCTCCACGGGTAGACATGTTAGAAAAATGCAGCTGATGAGTTAGTTAGGGTCTGCTCATTCCTAGTCAGGGTTACCTGAGAAGTGATTCAGGGGTTCAGCCTGGAGGATTGTGGGGTGATGAATAAGCTGGCAGAGCTGACTCATTGTGTAGATCCTGGCTCTGCCGGGTATCCTATGCACACATGTGTATGTGTGAGATCCAGTCAAGCTAGAGATGATTCTGGCAGGCTTTTGTCTGCCACAGACTGGATGTACAACCCACAGGGCTTTACTGTCAGAAGGGTCTGAAAGCCAGGAGTCAAGACCAAGTACGGGCATGGCCACCTCATCTGCGGTCGCATGTAATCTACCCCAGGCTCATGGGTAGCTCCATCTTCCCTCTTTGTCTCCTGTCATCTTCCTCTGAGTTTGTCCCTGTGTCCTACTTCCTCCTGGAGAACACCAGCCACACAGATGAAGGTTCATGCTGGGGACATTGATTCATTTTAATTATTGTTGTAAAGAACCTTGTTTCCTGATATAGTTGTCTTTAAAGACCAGGAGTCGGGAGCTTGGAGCAGCCTTCTATATAGTCCGTCAGAATTGTCGAGGCAGGAAGATCCTGTATTTGAGACCAACCTGGGCTGTATAGCAAGAGTCTCAAGAGCAAAGAGGAAAAGAAAGTTTTTTTTGGTTTGTTTTGTTTTTCTTTTTGGTTTTTCGAGACAGGATTTCTCTGTGTAGCTTTGGAGCCTATCCTGGCACTTGCTCTGGAGACCAGGCTGGCCTTGAACTCACAGAGATCCACCTGCCTCTGCCTCCCGAGTGCTGGGATTAAAGGTGTGTGCCACCAATGCCCGACTAAAGAAAGTTTTTAAGCTCCCTGGGCTGAAAGAATTTAGATCATGAGTAAATGGTGGGGACATCTTGGCCCTTTACACTGGACCAGTGACAAACTTATAGCTTTGGAGAGCCAGATCATCCCCCTACACTGTGTTCATCCAGTTTCTTCTCTGTTGAATAAGCACGTTAAGAAGTGGGTAAGTTGGTTGGCCACGTCAACTCTGGAAAGCTCCTGGTGAGGGAATTTTTTGGATCCTACCTTTCTGTGTTCATGGTGAGTCCAGAGAAGCTGGGATTCTAACTGGAAGGAGCTGGTGATCTTTGGGGTTTTTTTCTGGAGGGTGTCCAAACTGGCCTTGAACTGCCAGTCCTCCTGCCTCAGCCTCTCAAGTGCAGGATGACAGGTTTGAACCACCACACCTCACTTTCTTGTGGTTTGCAAGGGGCTGTTTTAGAGTCCAGTTTGGAGCTGTGAGTGCTGGAGTGTTAGGTGAGACTGACAGACAGCACAGAATGGGATGCCCTATTCTAAGCACTTCTGTGTCACAGAGAACAACATCCCAAAGCTACCCCATCATGGACCAGCTA